TTCGATTTGGTTCCATTGGTCTACCTGCCTATTTTTGTGCCAATACCAAGCTGTTTTCAGGACTATAGCTCTATAATAGAGCTTGAAGTCAGGTATGGTGATGCCTCCTGAAGTTCCTTTATTGTATAGGGTAGTTTTAGCTATCCTGGGCCTTTTGTTTTTCCATATAAAGTTGATTAATGTTCTTTCCAGGTCCTTGAAGAATTGTGATGGAATTTTGATAGGGATTGCATTGAATCTGTAGACTGCTTTTGGCAAGATTGCCATTTTTATTATGTTGATCCTACCAACCCAAGAGCATGGGAGATCTTTCCATTTTCTGGTATCTTCTTTGATTTCTTTCTTTAAAGATACAAAGTTCTCGATATACAGGTCTTTCACTTCCTTGGTTAACATTATCCCCAGATATTTGATGCTGTTTTTGGCTATTGTAAAGGGTGATGTTTCCCTGATTTCTTTCTCAGTCACTTCATCATCTGTATATAAGAGGCCACTGATTTTTTTGAGTTTACCTTGTATCCTGCCACATTGCTGAAGGTGTTTATCAGCTCTAGGAGTAACCTTGCGGAGTTTTTTGGGTCACTTATGTAAACTATCATATCATCTGCAAATAGTAAAAGTTTGACTTCTTCTTTTCCTATTTGTACCCCCTTTATCTCCTTTTGTTGTCTTATTGCTGTAGCTAGAACTACAAGTACAATATTGAAGAGATATGGAGAGAGTGGACAGCCTTGTCTTGTTCCTGATTTTAGAGGAATTGCTTTGAGTTTCTCTCCATTTAGTTTGATGTTAGCTGTTGGTTTACTGTATATTGCTTTTATTATATTCACGTACGTTCCTGTTATCCCTGATCTCTCTAGGACCTTTATCATGAAGGGGTGCTGGATTTTGTCAAAGGCTTTTCAGCATCTAGTGAGATGATCATGTGTTTTTTCTTTCGCAGTTTGTTAATATGGTGGATTACATTGATAGATTTTCTAATGTTGAACCATCCCTGCATTCCTGGGATGAAGCCTACTTGATCATGGTGGATAATTTTTCTGATGGGTTCTTGAATCCGGTTTGCGAGTATTTTATTGAGTATTTTTTGCATTGATGTTCATGAGGGAAATTGGTCTATAGTTCTATTTCTTAGTTGTGTCTTTGTGTGGCTTGGGTATCAAGGTAATTGTAGCCTCGTAGAAAGAGTTTGCCAGTGAGCCTCCTGCTTGTATTGTGTAGAATACTTTGAGGAGTATTGGAATTAGCTCTTCTTTGAATTTCTGGTAGAATTCTTCACTGAAGCCATCTGGGCCTGGGCTTTTTTTGTTTGGGAGACTTTTGACGACTTCTTCTATTTCATTAGGGGTTATAGGTCTGTTTAGATTATTTATCTGTTCTTGATTTAGTTTTGGCAAGTGATATCTATCCAGGAAATTGTCCATTTCCTTTAAATTTTCAAATTTTGTGGAGTACAGATTTTCAAAGTATGCCCTGATGATTCTCTGGATTTCCTCAGAGTCCATTGTTATGTCCCCTTTTTCATCCCTGATTTTGTTAATTAGCATGCTCTCTCTCTCTGTCTTTTGGTTAGTTTGGACAGAGGTTTGTCTATTTTGTTGATTTTCTCAAAGAACCAACTCTTTGTTTCATTGATTCTTCTCAGTGTTTTCCTGGTTTCTACTTGATTGATTTCAGCCCTCAATTTGATTATTTCCTGGCATCTGCTCCTCCTGGAGGAGTTTGCTTCTTTTTGTTCTAGAACATTCAGCTGTGCTATTAATTCTCTAGTATGATTGTTCTCCAGTTTTTTCATGTGGGCACTTAGTGCTATAAACTTTCCTCTCAGCACTGCTTTCAAAGTGTCCCATAAGTTTGTGTATGTTGTGTCTCCATTCTCATTGAAATCGAGGAAGTCTTTAATTTCTTTTTTATTTGTTCCTTTACCCAGGGATGGTGCAATTGTGCATTGTTCAATCTCCATGAGTTTGTAGGGTTTCTGCGATTTGTGTTATTGTTGAATTCTATAGTTAATGCATGGTGGTCTGATAAGATGCAGGGGGTTATTCCAATTTATTGTATCTGTGGAGATTTGCTATGTTTCCTATTATGTGGTCAATTTTAGAGAAGGTTCCATGTGGTGCCGAGAAGAAGGTATATCCCTTTGTATTTGGGTGGAATGTTCTATAGATGTCTGTTAAACCCAGTTGGGTCATAACTTCTATTAGTTCTTTTGTTTCTTTGTTAAGTTTCTGTCTGGAGGTCCTGTCTAGCGGTGAGAGCAGAGTGTTGAAGTCTCCTACTTTTAGTGTGTGAGATTTTATGTTTATTTTGAGCTTTAGTAATGTTTCTTTCACGAATGTAGGTGCCTTTGTATTTGGGGTGTAGATGTTTAAAATCGAGACTTCGTCTTGATGTATTTTTCCTTTGATGAATATGAAGTGTCCTTCTTCATCTCTTTTGATTGATTTTAATTTGAAATCTAATTTGTTAGATATTAGGATTGCTACACCCACTTGTTTCTTGGGACCGTTCGATTGGAAGATCTTTTCCCAACCCTTTTACTCTGAGATAACGTCTGTCTTTGATGTTGAGATGTGTTTCCTGTATGCAGCAGAAGGAAGGGTTCTGTCTTCGTATCCATTCTGCTAGTGTGTCTTTTTATAGGCAAGTTGAGGCCATTGACATTGAGGGATATTAATGACCATTGATTGATGATCCTTGTTTGTGCTTGATTTATTGTTAGTGAAGTTATTTTGTGTAGTTTCTCCTCCCTTTTTCTTTTGGTGTTTTGTAACGTGGGATTATATATTGCCTGTGTCTTTGTGAATGTAGTTATCTTCCTTAGATCTAGGTTTTCCTTCTAGCATTTTCTGTAGAGCTGGATTCATGGATACATATTGTTTAAATCTGGCTTTGTCATGGAATATTTTGTTTTCTCCATCTATGGTAATTGAGAGCTTTGCTGGATATAGTAGTCTGGGCTGGCATCCTTGTTCCCTTAGTGTTTGTAGGACATCTGTCCAGGATCTTCTGGCTTTCATCGTTTCCATTGAGAAGTCAGGTGTAATTCGGATAGGTCTGCCTTTGTATGTTACTTGGCCTTTTTCTTTAGCTGCTCTTAATATTTTCTCTTTACTCTGTAGGTTTGATGTTTTGATTATTATATGGCGAGGTGACTTCTTTTTCTGGTCAAGCCTATTTGGTGTCTGTAAGATTCTTGTACTTTCATAGGCATATCTTTCTTTAGATTAGGGAAGTTTTCTTCTATGATTTTGTTGAATATGTTTTCTGTACCTTTGAGTTGTATTTCTTCTTCTTCTATACCTATTATTCTCAGGTTTGGCTTCTTCACGGTGACCCATATTTCCTGGATATTTTGTGTTAAGGATTTGTTGGTTTTGAGATTTTCTTTGGTTGACGACTCTATAGCCTCTAATGAGTCTTCAACACCTGAGATTATCTCTTCTATTAATCTATTCTATTGGTGATACTTGCATCTGTAGTTTCTGATCATTTACCCAGCTTTTCTATTTCCAACATCCCTTCATTCTGTGTTTTCTTCATCGTTTTTATTTCAGCTTTCAATCCTTCAACTGTTTGAGTTGTTTCCTTCATTTTTTTGGTTGTTTTTTCTTGGTGCTCTTTAGATTCTTTGAGAGATTTGTTTATTTCTTGAATTTTTCCCCCATTTCATGGATTTTTTTGTTTGTTTTTTCTTCTATTTCTTTATGGGATTTCCTCGTTTCTTCTTTGAGGGTCTCCATCATCTTCATGAAATAATTTTTAAGGTCTGTCTCCTCTTCTTCGTCTATGTAGTGCTTTTCGGGTCTTGCTGGTGTTGGATCTCTAGATTCTGGTGGGGTCATGTTGGTGTTTCTATTGCTGAGTGAGCTCTTATTCTCTCTTCTCCCCATCTCTTCTTCCAACAGGTGCTGGTGGGGTCTTTCCATCTCCACTGGTCTCCTTCCTTCCTGCAGCTGAAGCTGGGGATGCTGACACGGAGTTTGGGGCCTGGAAGGGCTGATGTCTTTCCTGAAGCTGGACTCGCTGAGGTTGGGTTCTTGGAATTGCTGAAGTCTTTGCTGTGTGGGCGGGTCTCCTAAAGCTGTGCTTGCTGGGGTTGGGGTCTTGGAATGGCTGATGTCTTTCCTGTGTGGGCAGGTCTTCTGGATGCCAGGGGCGTCCCTGAAGCTGGACTGGCTGGGGTTTGGGGCTTGAAAGTGCTGATGTCTTTCCTGTATGGGCAGGTCTTCTGGATGCCAGGAGCGGCCCGGAAGATCAAGGGGATGGGTGTTGGGCGGGTGGTCCCCGCCGGAGACCCAATCTCACCTGAAGCTGGACTCACTGGGCTTGGGGTCTTGGAAGGGCTGATGTCTTTCCTGTGTGGGTGGGTCTTCTGGATCGTCTGTGGAGTCTTTTTATCACAGTTGTGTCTCTAATGCTATTTGTCCATTTCCTTTTGGGCTGATGCCTTTCCTCTTATGTCTTTATTGTGTCATTTTAGATTTCAAAGAACATGGTGGTGACGACTCTTGTGTAGATTTACCATGTTATAATCAAATGTGCCTCCTCCTCACTTCTATCATGTAGTCCAAGCTAGACAGGAACTCACAGTGCAGCTCAGGCTCAGAGCACCTGTAGGATCTCTGTTCTTGATTTATAGTGTTCTTGAGGGTTACCTGTCTTCAGGAAATCCTGAACAAAGCAGCATGATGACTAAAAAAACATCATTAAAGTAGTGATTATATGGGATAGGAAGAAGAATTGACTAGATTTATCAGACAAGTATGTGTCAAAATCTTGTACTTGATAAAACTTTACCTTGTAAATCAGTTGGAGAATATTATTTCACAGTCTTCTGTTTTGAAAGTTCTTTATAAAAGGGAGCTACATCTGAGTTCATTTTTTAAGAAGCAGCCCTACCTTTTTAATATCTTTTAATGATCCATATAAACATGTAAATAAATGCATCTAAACATGTGTTATTGTTCACATCCTTGTTACTGTTTTCCTGTCAGCTTTTACAGGATGCTGAAGTAATGAAAGAAGAGGCTGACCAAGTCAATAAACTGCTGATTGTCACTGTGTTACAGAACTCAACTGTGCCCAACTCTCCTCCTGCTGAATGCAAGACACCTGGTCTTGGCTTTGTCCCTCCACCTGTTCCCCAGGATAGAAGCCCCAGGGACACTCCCTTTGCAGGGGATCCAAGAAAGACACCCCCATTGCCACCACCTCCTCCAGGAAACAGTTATGCAAGTCCTCCCGACTATTTTCCACCAAGGGATTTCATTGAACCACCCTTCCGGTCATACCCAGGTAGGCTTTTTAAAAAAAAAAGTCCATGTATGTGTCAACGTTCATCTGTGCTCTTCTTGTTACTATGATAAACACCAGCAGCACCAACTGTAGGAGGAAAGGGTTTTTATGGCTCACAGGTTGCAGTTCAGCAACAAAGGAAGCCAAGGCTTCCCACATCATATATAAAATCTAAGTACATATTTAGTTATTTGTTGAATTAATTGAAATTCCTTCATACCCTTACAGTGTTAAAATAAATTTATTGCCTTTACAGCATACTTTACCCTTTGGAATAAGTTTCTACACAGTAAATGATGCTTCCTAGTACTAGACAAGAACCAGCTTAGCTGTCCTAGGTGTCTGCTCTCTGCCTTCACCTCTACTCCTAAACTTCAATGGGAATAAAATGAGTTTTGTGTGGGAAGTTTAAAGGTGTTCCTTGGCCTATGGAAATGCTTTTAGTAGGATGTCAGGTCAGGATCACAGATCTCATATTAAGTGTGAAAATTTTACTCCATTGAAAAGCTGTTTTACAGGAAGTCTTGAGTGTATTGAGGTCTTGGGTACCTCCCAAGGCAGGACAAATACACCTGAAACTGATAGTGATGTTCTTATTAATCTCATGTATTTAAGAAGTACATTTTTCAATGTCAAGATTCATTTGTGAGATCAAGTATTGTGGCGTGAGTGTTTGGATATCGGAATAGGGGCTGGAGCTAGTGTTTTAACCAGTGTGCACTACAGGGTTTCAAATTCCACTGTCCTTTACCCATATCTTCCAACAGGGAGAAATGTGTACCAACCGAGGGGCTTTCCACCACCTTACCTTCCCCCAAGAGCTGGGTTCTTCCCCCCACGCCCACATCTTGAAAGTAGAAATGAGAGCCCCAGACTTGATTCTGCCTTCCTAACAACCTGCACCCGAACCCCCAGAAACACAGGAGACCTGACAGTTTCCTTGGTGGTCATTTCTTTTCATTTTTGTTTTATGTAACTGCTGTTACTTACGTGACTATATTTTTGCTCAAATTGAAGCTGGGTGGATTTATAATTCTCAGGATAGTATTTTGTAAATAAAGATTTAAATATGAATCTTAAGAGTAAATTATTTCCATTGTATTTTATTCTTGGTAGTACGATTTACTTTGATTACTCCATCCATAATTATGGCAGTTTTATAGATGTAATTTGATAGATGGGGATACCTTAAACTCAAAAAGGCAGTGTGTTTATATCAGAAATGTGTTCACACTGGTTGTAGACAAATGTAAAGGTACCTGTATGTTTAATCAAATAAATTTTGATAGAATTAAAGTCTTGTTTGACATTGATAATAATAAAACCAGCCAGTTTGACACAAACATGGTTCCATAAATCACTCTTTTAACCTGTACCAACAATTCAGTGGCTCAAAAGAGAAGTGTCTGGAACTGGAGATAGTTGCTCAGTGGTTACAACCGGCTGCTCTTCCAGAACAGAAGAATTGGGCTTGGTTCCCAGCATGCACAAGGCAGTTCAACTGGGGGCAATTGAATGGCTTCTTCTGCTGCCTAGTGTATTAGGATGCATGTAGTGCATATGCATGCATGTAGTGCACAGATATACATACATGTAGTTCACCAGGCATGCATGTAGTGCACAGCACGCCTGTAATGTCCAGGCATGTGTTTAGTGCACAGGCATGAATGTACACAAAACATCTGCACACAAAAATTATATAAAAGGGAATACATTTGTGTTTTTTTCTGATTTAATTATCTTACAAAATATGTATCTTTCTTGGAGTTAGATATGAATGACTCAAAATAAAGTAATAAACTTTAAAATCTTAAATATGTATTACACTTTAAAGAAAGCAGGGATAATTTATAATGATGAATTTCAGAATTTTTTAAAACTTAGTTCAATGACTAGTTTTCTTTACACAATTCGAAAACAATGTGTTTGTGTGTGTGTGTGTGTGTGTGTGTGTGTGAGAGAGAGAGAGAGAGAGAGAGAGAGAGAGAGAGAGAGAGAGAGAGAGAGAGAGAGTAGAGGAGGAGAGCGAGCCAGCAGGCACACACAAGTCCACTCTCATGCAGAATATATGGTGATCAGAGGAAAATTGGAAGATTATCTTTCTACAGTAGGTTCTGGACACATCTCATGTTCTCAGGATTGCACAGTGAGCCCTTTCCTCTATATCTTGCTGGTCCTACTGATTGGTTTTCTTACATAATTTCTCTCTCATTTTCACTGTTTATCCATTTATTGATTTTGCTTATTTGTTTCTTAACACAGGGTTTGTGTGTGTAGCCCTTTAACTTGCTGTGTTGACCAGGCCGGCCTTGAATTTGGAGTTTCCTGTGTCTGAGAGCTGGAATTTTGTTTTCTGTTATTTTATTTTTTCTTTGTTTTTATTTTTAAGTTTAAATTTAGATTAGAAACAAGTTTGCTTCACAAGTCAGTTCCAGGTCCCTCTTCATTTCCCTCCCTTCCTCCCATGTACTCTCCCAACCCCCCTCCCATTATCCCCTCATTACTCCAGGGAGGGTGAGGCCCTCCATGGGGGTGTCCATTGTCTGTCATTTCATCCAGGGCAGGGCCTAGACCCTCCCCCAAGAGTTCAGGGTGAGAGTGCCTCTCACATTGTTGGATGGGAGTCCAAAGTCCATGTGCATACTTGGCATGAATACTGATCTACTACCCAAGGCTCAATAAATTACCTAGGCCTCCTCACTGGAGTTAAAAGTATGTACCACCACCACTGTCATTTTATTCTTAGCTTGGTGATTGCTTCCTGTGGGCTGTGTTAAGAGAGTTGCCACAGTGTAACCGCCACGAGGCCCCTCTCTCTGAGGTAGGGAGTTCAAGTGTCTTCGAACTGGGGTTCCTCTTCTTGGTCTTGCACACTGATAGGAATGGAGAAAGTGAGACCCAACCAATGAGTTTCCTGTTGGTGTGTTCAGCCCGTGGTTTTCACCTGCAGTTGGGTTTTTCTTCGGTGTCAAGGCACGGAGTGAGTACACATTCTGTAGCACAGCAGTGTGAATGTGACTGGAATGTTTCCTGGGTGTTGTTGGGAACAGTGGTCAGGTGGTGTTTCTGCTCTAGACAGATAAGCTTTGTACTGAATGCATTGTTTCCCCTGTTCTGATTCTAGATATTTACAACATGAGCTTGTTCTTCTTCATTGCCAGTTTATTACTTGATTCAGGAAATTTATCAGTGTAAGCATTGTTTCCATGAAGAAAGAACTTATGATTTTGGTGTTTATCCACAATCAAGTATTATATTTAAAGATTTGTAATCCTGAGATTATTACATCTCTGTTTAAACCACTTTTCTTCTTTCTCTCCCGGGACCAGGATCTTACTTTCTGTGAGCTATTTATACTTAAAACAGACTAGGAATTTTATTGTGCATACAAGAGGCATAATTTTTCTATATCTGACCAAAAATTGACAGCTCAAGAAAACAAATATAATTTAAATACTAACTCAGGCCCGTAGTAATAAATTTTGGTTTCCTTCTCCGTGAATCCCAGTGACCCAGTTTCTGGCTCAGTCATAGTTTGTTCTTTGCATCAAGACGGAAACCTGAAACAATAACACAATTAGTTTCCTTTTTGTTTCAATTAGTATTCATAACTGAAGTGATAATGGGAGACGCCAAAGCTCAAGACATTGAATTGGGCTTTTTGACCAATAGGAGTGTGTAAATATAGGGTATATGTAACCTTCTGTGCATAATCTTACTTTAAAAACAAAACAGAAAATTAATATCTAATCCTTGCTAAAAAGCAGACAATGGTTGAAACAACAGGAAGCATATGTTAGGAAGTGATGTTCACATCTCTCCAGGTGAAGTCTCTTTGGCTTTTGTCCTTCCAATGTCTTTCTGAATATAGATTCATGTATTTAAGTCATATCATATAGTTATGTAAGTCCATAAACATTTTTAAAAATTTTTTTCATTTTACATACAAACCCCAGTTCCCCCGTCTCCTCTTCCACACCGTGACTCACTCCTGCAACAAAACCATACTTCCTAATAGTGCCACTCCCTTTGGGAACAATTTTCTTTCAAACCCCCACAGTTGGCCACACCCACATGCTGTGAGCCACTTTACCCCACCATATTTTGCAGGCAGGACTGCTTGGACGTTTTACGTTTTTCTGCTGAGTTGGACTCTCAGTCCCTCAACTGGTTATAGAATATGACAGGTTCAGTCTCTATCTCCTATTACTTGTCTTAGATGGTGTCACCCTTGTAGATTCCTGGGAGTTTGTATTGCACTAGGTTTTCTAGTTCATCCCTGAAAATGACCCCTCAATTCCACTCATCTCTCCCTGTACTCTCTCCCCCTACCCTGCACCCTAACCTGGCCCTCCTGTTTCCATCCCCATTTGCCCCCAGTCCACTCACTAAATCTATTCTATTTCACTTTCCTAGGGAAATTAAAGCATATCCCTTCCCACCCCACCTGTCCTTGTTATGTAACCTCTCTGGGTTTGTGATATAGCATAATTATCCTTTCTGAATAGCTGATATCCACTCATAAGTGGTATATACCATGTTTGTTTTTCTAGGTCTGTGTTAGCTCACTCAGGATTATTTTTTCTAATTCCTTCTATTTATCTGCAAATTTCATGTTTTTTTTCCCTATGTGACACTGCATTTTGTAAATGTACCACATTTCTCTATCATTTCTTTGGATGATGAACTTCTGAATTGTTTCCAGTCTCTGGGTCTTATGAATAAAGCTGCTAGAACATAGTTGAGCAACTGTCCTGTTTTAGGATGGTGTCTTAGTTAGGGCTTTTATTGCTGTGAAGAGACACCATGATCACAGCAACTCTTACAAAGGAAACATTTAACTGGAGTGGCCCCCTTACAGTTTCAGAGGTTCAGCCCATTATCATCAAGGCAGGGACCATGGTGGCATACAGACAGATGTGGTGCTGGAAGAAGAGTTGAGAGTCCTACATTTTGTAGGTAACAGTAAGTCTACTGAAATTCTGTATGCTAGTCTGAGCATAGAATACCTCAAAGCCCTCTCCCACAGTGTCACACCACCACCAACAAGGACATACCCACTCCAACTCCAATAAAACCATACCTTCTGACTCTGCTACTCCCTGTGAAATTATGGGTGCCAGTTACATTCAAACTATTACATTTCACTCCCTGTCCCCCAAAGTTTGTAACAATATCATAATGCAAACCACATTTAGTCCATCACAATGTTTTATTCTTTTAAAGTCCAAGGTTCCTTCTAAGATTCATGCAATCTCTTAACTGCAATCACCGGAAAAATTCAAAATCAAGGCATAATGGCACAGGGTCAATGGATATGTAAAAACTACCTGTAAAATAATTTGGATTCTTGGTTTTAACTAGATATCTGATTTAATAATTTCATATGTAGTAGATTGAATCTGTCAGGAGGTCTTCAACTATGTACATCTAGTGTAGGTTTTAATGTAAATAATATGAAGAAAGAATAAAATCCTGAAAATAAAACTTCATTGTATTTTTCTTGAGTTATCTATGAGGGTGCTTTCATACAAGTATATAGTATGTACTGAGGAAAAGGAGGACACACAGAAAAGATAGGAAGTGGATGGTGCTTTCCCAGGTGCTCACTGAGGCTGTTGCAGCAAGAGTGCCTAGGAGCCAGCTGGAATGTTGACCAGTGCAGTACAAAAGAACGTCTGTTCCATTGATATTTCCACCGATCTCAGGCTTCTTTGGGGACTCTCGTATGGAATGCTAGTGTATTTGTGTCAAGTTGCTGGGACAGGGGGGTGGAACGTGTCAGTGTCTTTTGGATCTGGAAACATTCTGGGAATGAATTGATAATTCATGAATTTTTCCTTGTTTAATTTTTCTGTGTAGATGAGCCAGAATTGTCAGCAATGCCACCCGCTAAGAATGATAACAAAAGTGACCGTTGTGTAAGTATATGACATTGAAATCTACCCATGTATCCACAACTAGTTTCTTGATTTTCTTAGATAAAGACCAGAGCTCTTCTACTAAGTGATATAAAGATATTAATAAAATATACTTCTAGTTAGCATTAGTTCTTTCATTGTTGGATTTTTAACCTGTGTTAAATAGTACAGATCACAAGAAGGTTTAGATGATGCATGTAATCCTAGCATTTTTGCAGGCTGAGGCAGGAGGCTTGTAACTTCAAACACATACTGGGGTATATAAGCAGACTTTGCCTCCAAATACCAAATAGGCTTACAGGTTAAGACCTGACTGATTTCCTGGATGGCTTGGGTTTGATTCCCAGCATCTGAGTGGTGGCTCACAACCCTTCTTATCTCCAGGTTCAAAGGATCTGAAGCCCTATTCTAGCCTTGGAGAACAGTGAATGTATATGTTATGCAGACATGCATGCAGGCAAAGCTCTCATACAAATATGAAAAAAAAACAAATGAGCGAGGAACCTTATGTATCCCAACTTAATGAGAACACCTTTTAGAAGAACTTTAACGCTTCTGTTCTAGGTGTATACTATTTCAGATTTTCTTCCTTGAAATGTTTTTAATCTTAAAATGTATTCTAGTTATAAAATATAACATTGATTCTGGTCATTTTGAAGATATGAATATCTTACACAATTTCCCGTTCTCTGTGTGTGTGTGTTTGATAAAAGTGGCTATCTGGTTTCTATTTGGTTTCTCAACTTGAGACAGGTTGGTTACCCAGTAGCTATGGAGCCAACCTAGAAATCACTTTGTTGATCAGGCTGACCAGCAACTGACAGAGGTCCACCCATCTCTGCCTTCTGAGTTGTGGGATTAAAGACACATGCCTCCACTACCTGGTGTATATCTTTTTTTTATACATGATTGTTTTGTTGTGCTTTTACTGTACTTGTGTTTCAGGTAGTGCCAGGTAGACTATTACTACCATGCCTAAAGTTTTCTGCTGAGTTAGTAAAAATACTTAGGATAGCGCATAAGCGTCTCCTTTACAGTTGTGGAAACCTGAGCCTGTACCGAGGCTTTGTGGAATGTCATCTACTGCCTTGTTCTATGCCTGACACCCCCAGCAAAGGAGCTGTCCATCAAGCCTCTTTATTGACTGCTTATTGTCAATCTGTTACAGAACTCCACTGTGCCCGCCACTCCTCCTGCTGAATGCAAGACATATGGCCCTGGCTTCATCCCTCCACCTGTTCCCCTGGATAGAGGCCCCAGAGGTCCTCCCTTTGCATGGGATCCAAGAAGGCCACCCCTATTCCCACCGCCTACTCCAGGAAACATCTATGGAGGTCGTCCAGACTATTTTCCACCAAGGGACTTTGCTCGACCGCCCTTTCCACCATACCCAGGTATGCTGTATGTGTTAACTCTCATCTGTGTTCATTTTGTTACTGTGGAAAAACTCTGGCAAGAACCAACTGGAGGAGGAAAGGGTTTATATGTCTCACAGGCTACAGTGCAGCAACAAAGGAAGCCAAGGCTTCACCTTGATCCACCTCAGGTTATTTTGAATATTAACTGTACTCTGATAGGTCAGAAAATCAGGAAATTTACAAGGAGGTGTTCTTCCTTCCTTCCTTCCTTCCTTTCTTTCTTCCTTTCTCTCTTTCTCTCTCCCTCTCTCTCTCTCCCCCCTCTCTCTTCTTCTCTCTCTCTGTCTCTCTCTCTGTGTCACTGTCACTGTCTTTCTCTGTCTCTGCCTCTCTGTCTGATGCCTGGCTGTCTCCCTTCTTTCTTTCCTTCCTTCCTTCCTTCCTTCCTGTCTGTCTGTCTGTCTTTCTTTCTTTCTTTCTTTCTTTCTTTCTTTCTTTCTTTCTTTCTTTCTTTCTTTCTTTCTTTCTTTCTTTCTTTCTTTCTTTCTTTCTTTCTTTCTTTCTACCTTTTAAAAAATCTTCCCAAGTCAGAGATTCTCTATAGCTTTGGAGCCTGTCTTTGAAGTCTTGGACTGCCGACAAGGATGTCTTTAACTCACAGAGATCCACTTCTCTCTGCTGCCCAAGTGCTGAGTTGTAGGCATGTGCTAACAATGCCCATCTAAACGCGGTTTTAAGATGAAAATTATGTGTATTTCTTTCATAAAAATGTACTTTGGCCATTATTTAAAGTAATTTGTTATATTTTGTCATATGATTCCTGACTAAATTGTTTTAAGGTATGTCTCCCATGTAGCAGTTCCCACATGATGATATTTAAAATCTAAGAACATGTTTCCTTATTAGTTGAATTATTGAAATTCCTTCATCCCCTTACATTTTGACATTAAAGCAATTGATTGCCTTTACAGCAGCATACTTGCTCTTTGGAATCCCAAGTTTCTACACAGTAAGTCATATTTTCATTATTAGACAAGAATCGGCTTAGTTATCCTAGGTGTCTGCTCTCTGCCCTCACCTCTACTGTTCTATTACCATGATGATCTGAGAGCATGCATTGTATTGAGACCAGTATATACTGCTTTGAACCTGCTGAGCTCTAGATCCTGGATCTAATGAAAGGACTACTTTTTGCCAGTGATGGGCAAAATGTATATATTTTGTGAATGCAGTAACTCTGAGTTTCTGATATTTTGATGAACAGTAGAAGCAAAATATTCTAGTGTGGTGTCTTGATATCTGATTAAGGATGAGTTAAGTTTTCAGTTTCCCTACTCCATCCTTAGCTTTAAGCAAGCCCGTTGTTGTTCCCTCCTCTCTAGTAATGTCTGGTTTGCTTAACCACCACACAGTTCCCCTTTTTTGTGTCTCTTTTTGGAATTGATATATGCACACTGTACTTAGTAAAGTCTGCCATCACCTCTCAAGAGTGAAATAGTCTATTTGTAATGCTCAGTTCCTCAAGGAATGAAGACTGATAATTTCTTTATTCTAAATGAGGGTGGCTCCTGAGGCCTTTGTTTTAGAGTTTCAGTACAGTGTGATTGGGATGATGTCTTTCATCTGAGCTGTGAGTCCCCCCCTCACCTGTTGAGTCAGATCTTTCCTTCAGTGTAGAGGACTGGGAATTCAACAAAAGGCTAACATAATTACTTTCCCAAATTGCTTATAAGGTCAAATCTCCTTCCTTATTTTCTGTGTTTATATTTCTCATTATCTTTTTGAGATAGATTTTGTTTTTTTTTCTCACCTGTATGGCATTTCTGTGTATGCATCACAAAAATGTCTGTTGGCTGAGAAGGCCAGAACACGGCATCAGAGCTCCTGGAAGCAGAGTTGCAGGCGGTTGTGAGCTGCTGTTTGGTTGCTGGGAATTAAGCACAGTTCCTGTGTAAGAGCAGCCAGTGCATCGATGTTCATGAGGGATATTGGCCTGAAGTTCTCTATCTTAGTTGTGTCTTGGAGATCAAGGTGTTAAAGCCTCATAGAAAAAGTTTGGCATAGACCCTTCTGCTTCTATTGCAGGGAATACTTTGAGAAGAATTGGTATAAGCTGCTCTTTGAATGTCTGGTAGAATTCTGCACTGAGGCATCTGGACCTGGCCTTTTTTTGGTTGGGAGACTTTTGATGACTGCTTCTATTTCCATAGGGGTTATAGGTCTATTTAAATTGCTTATCTGCTCTTGGTTTAATTTTGGGAAGTGATAGCTATCTAGAAAATGGTCCATTTCCTTTAAATTTTCAAATTATGTGGAGTACAGGTTTTCAAAGTATAACCTGATGATTCTCTGAATTTCCTCAGAGTCCATCGTTATATCCCCCTTTAATTTTTAATTTTGTTAATTTGAATGTTCACACTCTGCTGTTTAGTAAGTTTGGACAAAGATTCCAGCAAGGGACTTATTAAGACCCCTGAATGTTGGTGTCAGTGAGGAGGCCTAAGTCATCTATTGTGCCTTGAGTATTTATCTCAGGTATACAAATAGACTTTGGGCCCCCTCCAACAATGACAGATGCACTCACATCCTCGACTCCCAGGGGAGGGTCTAGGCCCTGCCCTGGATGAAATGATAGACTATAGACACCCCCAGGGAGGACCTCATCCTCCATGGGGAAATGAGGACATATTGGATGGGTTGGTGGGAGGGCGTGGGAGGAGGGGAGGGAAAGGGAGGGCACCTGGAATTGACATATGAAGCAACCTTGTTTCTAATTTAAATTTAAATTTAAAAATAAAAATTAAAAAAAGAGCAGCCAGTGCTTTTAAGCAGGGCACCATCTCTCCAGAGCTTTCATTTTATCTCATATTTCATGCATGTGCACTATCTGAGTTAATGGTTAGTTTTCGTACGATGTTAAGAGCTGAGTATATCTCACTATAATACAATCTTTACTCTGTTCCACAGCTAACATCTCATTGCTTATAATCCATTTACATATGTGCTGTTTAGCAGTCAAGGGTATTAGGCTGGCAAATGTCAATGGATATGTAAAAACTACCGGTAAAATAATTTGGATTCTTGCTCTCAATTAGTCATTTTATTTAGTACTTTCATATGTAGTAGATTGGATCTGTCAGGAGCTCTTCAACTATCACTCACTCTCCACTGAACCTGGGAAATATGTGCATCTAGTGTAGGTGTTAATGTAAATTACACCAAGAAAGAGTAAAATCCCCAAAATTAATCTTCATTGTGCATTTGTTGAATTATCTATGAGGGTGCTTTCATACAAGTGTATATAGTATGTCCTGAGGAGGGAAAGTAGGGCACAGAAAAAACTCAGGAATTGGATGGTGCATCCTCAGTTATTCACTGAGGCTTCTGCAGCAAGATAGCCTAGGAGTCAGCTGGAATGGTCACCAGCACACTGAAAAAGAATGTCTGTTCTATTGAAGTTTCACCAGCCTCAGGCTGCTTTCGAACTCTAATGTTTAATACTAGTATATTTGTGTCAAGTTGTTCCCTGTCCCAGCAAGGGGTGTGGAACATGCCAGTGTCATTTGTATCTGGACATGGTCTGGGAATGAATTGAGAACTCATGAATTTTTCCTGGTTTAATTTTCCTGTGTAGATGAGTCAGAATCATCAGCAGAGCCATCCACTAAGAATGATAACAAAAGTGACTGCAGTGTAAGTATTGGAAATTGAATTCCACCCATGTATCCACAACTAGTTTCTTGATTTTTATAGAAAAAGACTAGAGCTCTTCTACTATGTGATATAAAGATATTAATAAATTACACTTCTAGTTAGCATTAGCACTTTCATTGCTGGCTTTTAACCTAGTGTTAAATAGTAAAGATCATAAGCAGGTTTAATGGTTCATGCAATCATAGCATTTTTGCAGGCTGAGGCAGGAGGCTTGTAACTTCAAAGACATAGTGTTCTATATAAGTAGACATTGTCTCCAGAAACCAAATAGGCTGGAGAAACTGCTTACAGGATAAGACCTGGCTGATACCCTGGGGGACCTTGGTTTGATTTCCAGCACCTGAGTGGTAGCTCACAACCCTTCTTATCTCCAGGTTCAAGAGATCTGAAGCCCTATTCTAGCCTTGGAGAACAGTGAATGTATGTGATATGCAGATATGCATGCAGGCAAAACACCCATACATGTGAAATGACAAATATGACAAAAACAAACAAGAGAGAGAAACCTTATGTCTACCATTTAAATAGGAACAACTTTTAGGAAAACTTTAAAGCTTCTGTGCTAGCTGTATACTATTTCAGATTTTCTTCCTTGAAATGATTTTAATCTTAAAATGTATTTTAATTTTAAAATATAGCATTGCTTTTGGTCATTTTGAAAATATCAATATCCTATATATTTTCCTGTTGTCTTATGTGTGTGTTCAATCCAAGTGGCTATCTGTTTTCTGTTTGTTTTTTCACTTTGAGACAAGTTTCCCAGTATCTATGGAACTTACTTTATTGACCAGGCTGGCAAGTAGCTTTCAGAGATCCACCCATCCCTGCCTCCTGAACTTTATGATTAAAGGCATGTGCCTCTACTACATGGTGTATATCTATTTTATTAAAAATGTCTGTTTTGATGTGCTTGAACTGTACTTGTTTTCAGGTAGAGCCAGGTAGACTATTACTACTATGCCTAATGTTTTCTGCTGAGTTAGTAAAAATAATTAGAATAGCACATATGCGTCTCCTACAAAGTTGTGGAAAACTGAGCCTGTACTCACACTTTGTGGAATGCCATGGACTACTTTATTCTGTTCCTGACACCCCCAGCAAAGGAGCTGTCCATCAAGCCTCTTTACTGACTGCTGATTGTCACTGTTACAGACCTCCACTGTGCCCAACACTCCTGCTGAATGCAAGACACCTGGCCCTGGCTTTGTCCCTCCACCTGTTTTCCAGGATAGAGGCCCGAGAGGTCCTCCCTTTGCAGGGGATCCAAGGAGGCTTCCTTCAATGGATTTTGCTGGTCCACACTTCCCACCTTACCCAGGTAAGCTGTTTTAAAGTCCATCTATGCTCTGTGCTTTTTGTGTTACTGTGAAAAACTCTGGCAAGAACCAACTGGAGGAAGCATGGGTTTATATGACTCACAGGATACAGTCCAGCAACAGAGGAAGCCAAGGCTTCACCTTGATCCACTTCAGGTAAATTTGAATTTTAACTGTACTAATACTTCAGAAAATCAGTAAATTTACAAGGAGCTTTTCTTTACTTCATTTCTATCCTTTTAAAAAAATCTTCACAAGGTAATGTTTCTTAATAGATTTCGAGACTGTCCTGGAAGTCTTAGAATGCAGATCAGGCTAGCCTTGAACTCACAAGAGATCCACTTGTCTCTGATTCCCAAGTGCTGAGTTGAAGGCTTGTGCCATCAATAATTATGTGTATTTCCTTTGATAAAAATGTACTGTGGCATTTATTTAAAGTAATTGGTTAAAATTTTGTCTTATGATTACTGACTAAATTGTTTTAAGATTTGTTTCCCAAGTGGTAGTCCCACATTATTATATTTACAATCTAATATCTTATTTTCTTATGAGTTGAATGTATTGTAATTTCTTCATCCTCTTACATTTTGAAATAAAAGCAGTTGATTTCCTTTATACCATACTTGTCATTTGGAATCCCAAGTTTCTACACAGTAAACTGTGTTTTCATTATTAGACAAGAACCAGCTTAGTTGTCCTAGGTGTCTGCTCTCTGCCCTCACCTCTACTGTTCTATTACCATGAAACTCTGAGGGCATGTACTATATTGAGACCAACATACTACTTTCTGCCTAGTGAGCTATAGACCCTGATATAAGGAAGCAACTACTTTTTGTCATTGCCACGTAAAATGTATATATATTTTTTGCAAGCAGAAACTCTTGAGTTTCTGATATTTTGATGAACATTAGAAGCAAAATACTAATGATGTGTCTTGAGATCTGATTAAAGATGAGTTAAGTTGTCAGGTTCCCTACTCCATCCTTAGGTTTAAGCAAGCCTATGTTAGAAGAACAAGGGGGCCATCTGTTTAGATACAGGTCTTTCTATTAGCCCTTTGCTCTCATTGGATGAGTTCTGATCTTTTGAGACAGCTCTTTGCTAAGACCTGGAATGTATTATAAGTGAGCCTACTATTCAGAAGTTTTGGAATTTTCCTTAGTCACATCACCTTACTTGGAAGCTCATTAGATATGGTTCTCTCCATTGACTGTTTAATCTTGGTGGTTTCCTTGGTTTTGTGCAGGAGAGATGATGCAGGGTAGTCCTGTGAGCTTAAATCAGATAAGAGTGACAGTCATTACTGAGTTCAAGGTGTTCAAACTATGAACTCGTAATTATGAGGCCATGGGAGGCAACTTGTCACTGTTGGTTGATGTGTATAGAAGGACAGTATCTTACTTGGGCTTACTCTTGCTGTGACAAAACACCAGGAACAAAAGTGGCCTGTCTAGGAAAGGATTGATTTGACTTACTCTTCCACATTGTAGTCTTCACTGAAGGAAGACAGGACAGCAACTCAAGCACTGCAGGAACCTGGAAGCAATGGCCAATACAGAGGCCAAGTGATGGGTCCTGCTCCCTGGCTTGCTTTAAAGTGGGACCCAAGACCACAATTCTAAGGATGGAACCACCCACCATCTTCCAGTGATTAAGGAAATGCCTAGTAATTAAGAAATGCCTACAGTCTGATCTCATGAAGAAAGTTTCTCAATTGTCTTTCCCTCCATTCTGTCTGTGTCAGGTTTGCTTAACCTACCAGGACAGAAAACGAAACCACACAGTTCCCCTTCTTTGTCTCTCTGTGTTGGGAATTGATATATGCACACTGTACTTAGTAAAGTCTGCCATCACCTCTCAAGAGTGAAATAGTCTGACTACTTGTAATGCTCAGTTCCTCAAGGAATGAAGAGTGACCATTTCTTTATTCTAAATGAGGGTGGCTCCTGAGGCCTTTTTTTTAGAGTTTCAGTACACCTGTGTTTGGGAAGATGTCCTTCATCCGAGCTGTGTGTTCTCCTTCACCTCTTGAATCAGATCCTTCCTTCAGTGTCGACTGACACCCCAAGTTCTGAAGGTCATGAAAATTGTCAAACTGAAGATGTTTCTGGATTACTGCTTGCCAAGATGACCAATGTAACTGTTGAGCAGAATTTCTTTCTCTGTTTTTCCCTCTTGCTTTCCAGCTGCTCCGCGGCATGTTTTGTTTTCTGTTTGACATGTTAATGTGGTTTTATTGTGAGTCCTATTTTTAATTTGAAGGTGAAATGAATTCAGATTTCACCTATTGTTAGTTGTCTTGTTTCAGCATTTCATATGTAGATTTAAATATGTGGTATAATTGTATCAACACCTACTTGTTGAATAAGAACCCAAAGGAAGCCAGGGGCTGAGACCCACACGTATAACTCCAGCACTGCAGAGGCAGTGGCAGGTAAATTTCTGTAAGTTTGAAGTCAGCCTAGCCAACAAAGCCTGGGCCAGGACAACCTCCAATGCAATATTGAGAGAACCTTTCTCAAAATAATTGAAAATAAAGAAAATAAAAGAAAGCATAGGAAATACACTATCTCTCATATTTTTGATTAGTGCCTACCAATAATGGGTGACAGACAGGTTTGATTTTACTTTTGTATGCAGAGGAAATGCCTAAGTCAATATATGCACAAGTAAACTAAACTTAAGATTACCGTATTGAAGATATTCTAAAAATTTGTATCCTATGTCAAGCATATTCTGATGCTGCTCTACAATGGCAAGATAGATTTTATTCTGAGTCTGGTAGACTCCCTCGACCAAGACAACATGGAAATTACAATATGCCTCCCTTGCTTGACTTGGGTAAGAAGCACTGTGTGTGTATGTGTGTGTGTGTGTGTGTGTGTGTGTGTGTGTGTTTGTATCTGTGATCATGCTTGCTTCTGATATTACATAGTTATGATAGCATAGAGTCTGAGAATTGAACAATTGTCTAATACAGTTAGTATCCCAGATTGCTCATGAGGCCACATCTCCTTCCTAATTTTCCAGAGTTTGTATTTCTCATTGTCTTGGAGAAATATTTTGTTTAGTTTTATGTCACCTATATTGTGTTTCTGTGTATGTATCACATACATGCCTGTCGCCTGAGAACCCAGAACAGGGCATCAGACTTCTGGGACGTGGAGTAGCAGATGGTTGTGAGCTGCTGTGTGGTTGCTGGGAATTAAGCACAGGTCCTGTGTAAGAGCAACCAGAGCTCTTAAGCATGGAACCATCTCTCCAGCATTTTCATGTTTCACACTTCTGGCATGTGCTCTAATATATGAGTTAAAGGTTAGTTTTGGTTTTATAGTAAGAGCTGAGTGCATCTCACTCTAATACAAACTGTACTCTGTTCCACAGATAACTTCTCATTGTGCATAATCCATTTACATACATGTGGTTTAGCAGAAAAGATTATAAGGCTGGCAAATGTCAATGGATGTGTAAAAACTACCCGTAAAATAATTTGGGTTCTTGTTTTTAATTAGATATCTGATTTAATAATTTCATATGTATTAGATTGAATCTGTGAGGAACTCTTAAACTATCACTCATTACCCACTGAATCTGGGAAATATGTGCATCTAGTGTTGGTATTAATGTAAATAATATGAAGAAAGAAAAAACATCCTGAAAATAAATCTTCATTATATATTTGTTGAGTTATCTATGAGGGTGCTTTCATACAAGTATATAGTATGTACTGAGGAAAAGGAGGGCACACAGAAAAGACAGGAAGTGGATGGTGCTTTCCCCAGGTGTTCACTGAGGCTGTTGCAGCAAGAGTGCCTAAGAGCCAGCTGGAATGGTCACCAGAGCAGTGCAAACAAATGTCTGTTCTACTGAAATTTCCACGGCTTCAGGCTGCTTTGGGGACACTCATATGGAATATTAGTGTATTTGTGTCAAGTTGTTCCCTGTCCCAGGAAGGGGGGTGGAACGTGTCAGTGTCATTTGGATCTGGAAACGGTCTGGGAATAAATAGAGAACTCATGATTTTTTCCTGGTTTAATTTTCCTGTGTAGATGAGCCAGAATGGTCAGCAGTGCCATCTACTAAGAATGATAACAAAAGTAACCATAATGTAAGTATTGAAAAGTGAATTATACCTATGCACTCTGCAACTAGTTTCTTGGTGTTCTTAGAAAAAGACGAGAGCTCTTCTACTAGGTGATATCAAGATATTCATAAAACATACTTCTACTTAGCATTTACACTTTCATTGTTGGCTTTTACCCATGTGTTAACTAGTAGAGATCACAGCTGGTTTTCATGGTGCATGTAATCCTAGCATTTTTGCAGGCTGAGGCAGGAGGCTTATAACTTCAAAGACAGTGTGGGCTATATAAGCAGACTTTACCTCCAAACACCAAATTGTCTGGAGAAATTGCTTACAGGATAAGACCACTGGCTGATCTCCTGGAGTTCCTTGGTTTGATTCCCAGCACCCTAGTGGTGACTCCCAACCCTTCTTATCTCCATGTTTAAGGGATCTGAATCCCTATTCTAGCTTTAGAAATCAGTGAATGTATGCGGTAATCAGACATGCATGCAGGCAAAACACCCATTCGTGTGAAATAACAAATATGACAAAAACAAACAAGAGAGACAAACCTGATGTATCCCACTTAAATAAGAACAACTTTTAGTAGAACTTTAAAGCTTCTGTGCTAGCTGAACACTATTTCAGATTTTATCCCTTGAAATGTTTTTAAAGTATTAAAATGTATTTTTAAAATATAGCATTGATTTTGTTCATTTTGAAGATAATGAATATCTTATCCAGTTTCCTGTTCTTTCTCTGTGTATGTTTGATCAAAGTGGCTATCTGTTTTTTATTTGGTTTTTCACTTTGAGACAGGTTACCAAGTAGCTAAGGAGCCAATCCTAGAACTAAGTTTATTGATCAGGCTTGCCAGTAACTGACAGAGATTCACCCCCATCTCTGCCTCCTGAGCTGTGGGATTAAAGGCATGTGGCTCCACTACCTGGGGTAGTCCTATTTTACTAAAAATGACTGTTTTGTTGTGCTTGAACTTACTAGTATTTCAGGTAGAGCCAGGTAGACTAAACTACACCATGCCTAAAGTTATCTGCTGAGTAAGCATAAATACTTATTTTAGCGCATATGCGTCTCCTTCACAATTGTGGAAACCTGAGTCTGTACGGAGGCTTTGTGGAATGTCATGGACTGCCTTCTTCTATGCCTGACACACCACAGCAAAGGAGCTGTCCATCAAGCCTCTTTAATGAATGCTGATTGTCACTCTGTTACAGAACAATACTGTGCCCAACATTCCTCCTGCTGAATGCAAGACACCTGGCCCTGGCTTCGTCCCTCCACCAGTTCCCCTGGATAGAGACCCCAGAGGTCGTCCCTTTGCATGGGATCCAAGAAGGCCACCTCCATTCCCACTGCCTCCTCCAGGAAACATCTATGGAGGTTCTACAGACTATTTTCCACCAATGGACTTTGCTGGACCACCCTTTCCACCATACCCAGGTATGTTGTATATGTAACTTTCATCTGTGCTCCTTTTGTTACTGTGAAAAACTCTGGCAAGAACCAACTGGAGGAGGAAAGTGTTTATATTGCACATAGTTTACAGTCCAGCAACAAAAGAAGCCAAGGCTTTACCTTGATTCACCTCACGGAATTTTGAATTTTAACTGTATTCTGATAAGTCAGAAAATCAGGAAATTTACAAGGAGATTTTTTCTCTATTTTTTCCTTTCTTTTTTCCTCCCTCCCTCCCTCCCTCCCTCCCTCCCTCCCTCCCTCCCTCCCTTCTTTCCTTTTTTCCTGTCTGCTGCCTGACTGTCTTCCTTCATTGGTTTCTTTCTTTGTTTCTTTCTTCCTTTCTATCTTTTTAAAAATTTTTCCCTAGGCAGCATTTTCTATTGTTTTGGAGCCTGTCCTGGAAGTCTTTGACAGCAGACCAGGCTAGCTTTGAATTCACAGAAATCCACTTGTCTCTGCTTCCCAAGTACTGAATTGAAGTCATGTGCCAGCAATGCCCAGCCAGAAGCCGTTTTAAGATAAAAATTATGTGTATTTCCTTTGATAAAAATGTACTTTGACAATTATTTAAATAGTTGGTTATAATTTTGTCTTATGATTACTGACTAAATTTTTTAAAGTCTCCCAATTAGTAGTTCCCACATGATCATATTTAGAATCTAAGATCATGTTCCTAATTTGTTGAACTTATTGAAATTCCTTCATACCTTACATTTTCAAATAAAAGTAATTGATTGTCTTTACAACATACTTTGCCCTTTGAAATCCCAAGTTTCTACACAGTAAATCATATATTCAGTATTAGACAAGACCCGGCTTAGTTGTCCTAGGTGTCTGCTCTCTGCCCCCACATCTAAAGTTCTATTACCATGAAAATCTGAGAGCATGCACTATATTGAGACCAACAGACTGCTTTGTACTTACCGAGCTATAGATTCTGGATCCAATGAACCGACTACTTTTTGTCAGTGCTAGGAAAAATGTATATGTTTTGTGAAAGCACAAACTCTGATTTTTCTGATATTTTGATGAACATTAGAAGTAAAATACTAATGAGGTGCCTTGAGATCTGATTAAGGATGAGTTAAATTTTCAGGTTCCCTTCTTCATCTGTAGGTTTAAGCAAGCCCTTGTTGGAAGAACAAGGGGGCCATCTGTTTAGATACAGGTCTTTCTAGTAGTCCTTTGCTCTCATGGGATGAGTTCTGATCCTTTGAGACAGCTCTTTGGTAAGACCTAGAGTGTAGTATAAGTGAACTTTCTGTTCAGAAGTTTTTGACCTTTCCTTAGTCACATCGTCTTACTTAGGAAGCTAATTAGATATGATTCTCTCCATTGAGTGTTTCATCTTGGTGGTTTCCTTGGTTCTGTGCAGGAGAGATGATTCAGGGGAGTCCCGTGAGCTTAAATCAGAT